CTTATAAAACCTTATATATATATATGGGTATTATAGTTCTCCTGTGATAGGAAAAATCAAATCTTCTGCAATAGTTAAACTTTTGATGTGGGGCCCATTTTAATTAAAAAAATAAAATAAAAATATAATGTGCTACACTGTAGCGTGTCTGTTGGAAGGAGTTGCATTTTCCTGCAACAGTAGAATTTCAACCCCCTATATATATGAGTTTTATAAGAGTTATGTTGTAGGAAAAGTGATTGTGTAATATTATAGAGATTCGTTTTGTGTGTCGTAATTTTTTTTTCTTTTTTCTTCAAGAAGTGTGGGTCCCACAAAATATTGTGTGAGTAGAAAAATTTGTTGTGTCATGTTAAATGACAAATGCAAACCCTATATATATATATATATATATATATATATATATATATATATATATATATATGAAACATAAGAATTGCAGAAATTAAAATAATATTAAAGATTCTGACTAATTACAATTCAAGTAGTAAGTTTCAGTTAAGTGATTAAAGAACCTTTAATAATTAGGAGTTTTGGTCTATGGAAATGTACTACTAACTAGGATAACCTTCGTACACTAAATGATAGTAGCTCAGTTGATGTATGAGAGCTAAACAAGTGAAGATGAGAATATGTATTTGATCATCCCTAGTATCATCTTCTTCTTTTTTGGAGTTACCCAACCCTAATTACCTCTTTGAGGCGAGTTGGCTCCCTCCGGTATCTCCACAAGCTTCGACTCTTTGAGCCGGCTATGGGACTAATCCGGAGTGCGGGGGTCAGTGATAGCTAAAGGTTCAGCCCCCTCCCCAAGAATGCATTCAGCGAGAATTGAATACATGTCCACCCTAGTATCATCTTTAGAAGGAGTTTAAAGTTTTAATTTTGACCTGTGCCGAACAGAATTATCTCCCATGATAACTATAGTTTATAAAAAATAAATAATAATCTTCGTATCATAAATATGATTAATTAGTCTCGCAAGATGCAAAATATTAATAAATAAACAAAAAGCTAAAAAGGTGATAAAGTGTACGGGCAGCATGTGGTATACGACAGAATTTATTGTGAACCAGGACCACTATTTTTTAGGTGATCCCTTAGTGTATATGAGAGGATGAAATTAGAGGAAAAAGAAAAATAATAGGGCTAAAAAAGTAAGAAAAAAATTAGTATTGTGAGAAGGAACATCAAATTATTGAATGGTCCTGGAGCATAAAAAATATTTCCATGGTATACGCGATTCTACGAACACATGTACAGACACACATTGACACTGACGATAAATGGGTCAAACCATTCACATTGCATAATTTGATAAATTTTGATTTAGTTGTGTCTGTAGAGGAATATGACAATATCGTAAAATTTGTTACACCGGATGATGTGAAGGACATGACTCCAAACCTATATAAAAAAATAAGAGGGAATAAGTTAAGGTATCTCGTTAAATGAATTAGTAGAAAAATTCTTTAAAGAAAATGCCAATAAAGACGGAAATTATTCCATGAAGCTTCGATAGGTAAGTGATATCTCTTTCTCTATCTTAATCTCTTTATATAATTCTTAAATATTTAAATAACTAGAAATATCAATAAAAAAAGGGAGAAAAAAGTGTTCAATATGTACTAAATTATTGAATGCCAGCTTCACTGAAAGCAGCCATCTGCCTTTGTAAGGCTAGATCATGGGGAGGGTGGAAATTGAAGTTTCTAGATTCAATCTTTGCACCATTATTATAAAAAAAATGGATCTGATTAAAAAGGAGGAAAATGGCTTTTCATCTCGTGCAATATGTACCAAAAATATCAGCTCGAATAACTTTCCCATGTTGAGAAAGCGCGTTTGAGACTATAATATTAACTCCACCTCTTAATATAATTTTCTAATTTTTTTTTTTTTTGAGTTAACACAATTTTAATTATCTCATTGAGACAAGTTGGTTCCCCTGATATTCTTATAAATTTTGATTCTTTGAACTGACTATAGAATTAATTCAGAGTGCGGAAGAGTTGGATGAAGATATTTAAATTGGGATAGAACCAAAACCCTTTCATTTTTACTGTTAGACTTCCTTGCTACCAACTGAACTACCATTATTTGATTATAATCTTCTAGATTGGACACAACTATAGAACCAAATAAAAAAACTAGGTCTGCTTGCAACAAATAAAAAATTATTTTTAAGTTTGATAAGTTGAGTTTTTCTTTAGAAACTTATGGGGCAGAGAGGGACGTTCAATCGTGCCGGTCCAACTAGACTACTAATTATATAATAAGTTGAAAATTTGAATTATCTAGGTGTGTTGTTCTCAAAGATCACTGAGCGTGCTAATTAAAGAACTTCCAAATTCTTGTCATTAAGAGTGATGTTACGTAATAGCTGTGTGCATTTGGACTTGTCCACGGTTGTGTAAGACCAATTCCAGTCGAAGAATAAAAATATGTGTAGATCTCTGTTCGCATTAAGTATTGTTACTTTAAACTTCGTTATTTGGTAAGGTCATCAGTTTCGCTCTTTACGTCGTTTATATTTTAGTGGAATTAAAATAAATATAACACAAATAAAAAATTGAATCTATGTAATTTTCATATTTCAAGTTCAAAGATCTCTTATATGAGAAAATGTGTGAGAAAATAATATAAACTATTAAAAAGACTTTGATTTGATATAAAGAGGTATAAGTTGTATTACCAACAAAGTAAGAATAAAAAGATTATATCTAATCTTGATAGTTAATCCACTTATAATTATTAAATATAAATAAAATCATAGTACAAATTATACTAGTACAAATCATTATATATATATATATATATATATATATATATATATATATATATATATATAGGGGAGGGATCTTTTGACTCTAGAGTAAGACTTATAACTCTTACTCTCTATCTCAACCGTTGATTTCCGTCCATCTAACAGTTATTATTTATTTGAAATAATTAATTAATTAATTGTTATAGATAACCGTTGGATGGACGGAAATCAACGGTTGAGATGAGGAGTAAAAATTGTAAGTCTTACTTTAGAGTTATAACAATTAATTAATTAATTATTTCAAATAAATAATAACTGTTAGATGGACGGAAATCAACGGTTGAGATAGAGAGTAAGAGTTATAAGTCTTACTTTAGAGTCAAAAGATCCCTCCCCATATATATATATATATTATATAAATTGATCTTCGTTATCAATTCGCCTGCCTTACTATTGAGGTTTCTGGCATTTGAACATTCAATCTCATAATTGAAGTGGTACATCTTTTTTTATATATATTACAGGTATCTTCTAGAAATTTTGTTTAGACCGAATTTAGGATTAAAGCTTTAAACCCCTCCCAAAGATGATATTGACAAGAATCGAACTTATGTTCTCATCTCCATATACTTAGCTTTATGTGCGAACTGAACTATCATCATTTGATATTGAAATGGTACATTTGTTTCAACAATATTGGTTGCTAATGTTGAATGTTAAGAAGAAAAATGAATGGTGGAAATGATGGACGCGAGTAAATAAATAGTAATGCACTTATGATAGATTGGAATTGGTCTTCCTTCTAATTATTTATTTCTTATTAATGAGAATGTAAACAACCTTACTCAGCAGATAAAAAAAATAAAAAGCCTTACAGATGATGAATTTAATTTATCGAGCAGAATCCATGAAAAGGAAAGATAGAAATAAACTCAACTATCATAATCCTGAACTCACCTACCTAGAGGGTCAAGTGGCACAGCTATAAAGAATATTTTGCTCTAGTTGTGGGGTCTGTGCCATGTCTCAATAATGTTCGTTATAATTGTAAGTGTCTAAAGATGTTAGGAAAACGGAGAAAAGTTACAAATTTGCCAATCCCCTATCCATTTATTTAATAATTATTATTTTAAAATTATTCTTTCTCTTTTACACATATAAAAATGTATAGGGTCATGTGGGCTTATGGAAACATATGAGAGAGAGAAAAATAAATCACATGCACTTTTTTTTTGGATACGCACAAACATTTTTATATATGTAGAAAATAAAATTATCTCCTACAACAAGAGAAATATTAATCCCTATTATTTTTACACCAATTAACAATATTTCCATGTCAGTGAATTTTCCTTTTATCACCATACTCTTGAGTTCATTCAAAATAGTTTGAGGTAAAAAGTATTAAGTTATAGTCAGAGTAGCAGTTAATCATACAATTAGAAAAAATTGTAATCTTTAAAAAAGGTATTGTACTCCTAAAAAGAAAAAAAGAAAAATACCAGGCCATGAATTTTCACGTGGAAGAGTGATTTATAATTAATTAACTTTAAACATTGAATAATCGATATGCACAATAGTTAGTTTTTAACTTCACAAAGATATGAGAAACGAGTAAAAGATCAAATGAGAACAAGAAGTCTACTATCAAGAGATGAATGATACCTCCTCCCCAGTATTACTTTTAGAAGGGATTTAAAACTTTAATTATGAACCTGAATCGTGAAGCGATGAATCGACTGAAATATTTCTAGAAAAAAAAGAGATGAATGATACCAGAGAGATATTGTTTATATAATTGATCAATTTATTATTATTATTATTATTATTATTAAAAATTTAAGTCTAGAATATTGGTAAAGCAATTTGTTCCGGGATAATTAACTCGGTTGGGCCCATTTAGTTATAGCCCAAAGGTTAGCCCAAGACTTTATACCCGAACTATCTGTTAGGTTATGGAACCTAAGAAGAACAGAACCGAACCAAAGAAAGAAAAAATAGAATTCAGTATCGAGATTTTTATTGAATGAATGACTAACAGGTTTCCATCAAGTTATATACAAGTTCCCACTCAACTAATGAGCCACCTACTTGACCACGTGTCCTCTAACTAACTTCCCACTACACAATTGCATGCAACAGACTACACATGTAAGCTAACCGCTTAACCCTTGTTAACTAAATGCAACTAATACAGAAGCAATTAAATGGTTTCTTCAAGCAACAAAATCAGCTAGTCTAGTAGAATGCTTTTTGTCCCTATTCGATCTTCTAAGCCTAACATTTCCCTCTCCTTCAACAATGACCTTGTCCTCAAGGTCAAGAGATGGGTAATAGTGATGCAAATCCTGTTCTTTCTCCCACGAGGAATCTTCAGGAATCGAATTTGACCATTGCACCAAAGACTCCCGTGGCAAGATACATGACGCATGCCCAAGATGGCTACTGGTACTTGAACAGGACGGTTATCAACCGTTGATGAAGGCAGTGGATTTGGCACAATTGGCAAAGGGCCCACACAAGGTTTCAATTGTGATACATGAAACACAGGATGAATTTGACTCCCTGAAGGCAATTTCAGTTCATATGCAGTGGCTCCCAACCTCCTGAGAAATTCAAAAGAACCGAAGAATCTCTTAGCAAGTTTATGGTTGGCTCTCCTCTCAACTGTCACTTGCCTATACGGTTGTAAACGGGCCCGGTCTTGATCTCCTATATTGAAGGAATGTTCTTTGTGGTGCTTATCAAACTGAACCTTCATACGGTTCTGAGCCCTTTGAAGATGGAGTTTGAGTTGAGCTAAAATCTCATTCCTCTGTTGCAGCATTGTATCAATAGCTTCTAACTTAATCATTCCCCTCGGGTAAAAGGGTATCATAATTGGAGGTTTTCCAAAAACAGCCTGATATGGAGACATGCCAATAGAGGAGTGAATGGCTGAATTGTAATGGTATTGGGCCCAACACAAGAAACTGCACCAGGAACGTGGTTGGTCAAAGAAAAATGAACGCAAGTATTGTTCAAGATACCTGTTGGTCACTTATGTTTGACCATCAGATTGTGGATGGTAGGAAGAAGTTGTCCTCAAAGTAGTACCACTTAACTTGAACAAATGGCTCCAAAATTTGCTTAAGAAAATGCGATCTCTATCAGTCAAGATAGATCGAGGAAAGCCATGGATGCGTACAACCAATTCACAGAACAGATTAGCAACTGTAAAAGCTGTATAAGAATTTGGTAATGCACCAAAATAAGCGAACTTAGATAACCTGTCAACAACAACTAGGACAGTAGTAAAGCCTTTTGATGGAGGTAGTCCACAAATGAAATCCATGGAAAGTTCCTCAAACACACCTTCTGGAATTGGGAGGGGCTGCAACAAACCTGCCACCTTAGAAGTTTCATATTTGACTTGCTGACAAATGTGACAGCTTTGGATAAATTGTTTAACATCTCTTCTCATAGAAGACCAATGGAAGGTAGCTGACAACCTCAAGTAAGTTCTTAAAACACCCGCGTGTCCTCCAACTAAAGAAGAATGGGCCTCTTGAATTAATACAGGAATTAATGATGAAGAAGAACTAAGGAGGTACTTGCCTTTGTACATGAGCACTCCCTCTCGAAGCAGCACATCAGGATCACTGTTGGGATGATCTCTCAACTTTTGGTGAATTTGCAATAATTGAGGATCATGTCAATTCTGAAGTTTGATTTCAGAAATGATGTCAAACTCAGGTTCAGATATGGAAACATGGAAGGCAGCATCCAAATCAATTACTCGGGACAAAGCATCAGCCATTATATTGGTGCTGGCTTATATTCAATGTGAAAGGAATAACCCATCAGTTTACACAAGTACTTTTGTTGCTCAACTGTATGAATAGTTTGAGTGAGAAGTTCCTTGATACTTCTATGATCTGTTCTTATTATAAATTTGGAACCCAACAAATACTGGCGCCAATGTTTCACAGCTGTGGTGATAGCATACAACTCTCTAATGTAAGTAGAAGCACTTGCTAATCTCAGGCCCAGCTTCTTGCTGAAATAAGAAATAGGGTGCTCACCTTGAAGCAACACAACACCAACACCCTGATTCGAGGCATCAGTATCCAAAACAAACATTTCTTCAAAATTTGGTAACTTCAATACAGGTGTGTGAGACATGGCCTGCTTAAGTTCCAAGAAGGCTGCATCAGCTTCTGAAGACCAATTGAACACAGCAGAACCCTTTAATAAGTTGGTTAAAGGAAGAGCCAAGAAAGCATATCCTTTGACAAATCTTCTATAGTACCCAGTGAGTCCAAGGAAACCCCTTAATTGTTTAATATTCGTAGGAATGGGCCATTGAATCATGGCTGAGATCTTCTTTGGATCAACACATACACCACTTGCATCCACCACATGCCCCAAATACTCAATGGTTGTCTGGCCAAAAGCACATTTATTGAGCATAACAAAGAACTCATATTGTTGTAGGGATTTGAGAGTCAATTCCAAATGCTGAGCATGTTCATCTATATTTTTACTGAAAACCAATATGTCATCAAAAAAGACTATAATAAATCTTCTCAAAAAAGGTTTGAAAAGATGATTCATAATAGATTGGAATGTGGCTGGGGCATTTGTTGTTAGTATATGGATGTCCTAGAGACAATCTTTTGATTAGATTAGGACATATGTAGACCTTTTATATTGTCGCAAATAAAAGCACTATTTATCCTGTTTCATATTTTTTCTCAATATTACGATTAATATTTATATGAGTAACTGGATAAATCCCATGAAATAAAATAGGTATCTCTTGAGTATCTGTGATGAGATCACGATCATGAGGATTCAAGGATACTGCATGTTTATTCCTAATTTTATGTTCCTAGTCTAGAGACACTGAGAATGGGGATCAGTGATCTCGGGTAAGACTAGCACGACTTATCTACTTGTATTTGGATGCAAGGTAAAGACCTCATGAGCTACAGATATGGAGATGTCTTAGCTAAAGTCGTGGGTGGACCTATAAGGGTATAACTCGCACTGAACAGACCCACAAAGAGACTCTATGAGGAACTCTCATAGAGAGTGTCATTAGAGTAGTCTCTTTATATTTGGGTATGTCTTTCCTAAGACCAGAAGTTATTACCTAGACTGTGTTCTAGAAGGCATGCTTTGATTGTGCGCCTCGTCTGCCTGAAACATGGAAACTCATATGTATACTGTTGGGCTTGTCCTGAAAGAACACAGGGCTAGGGTGATAAGCTAAAGGAATTCGTCAAATCTCTGTGAGAGATTAGGTTATCTGTAAATCGGAGAAATCGGGATGACATTTACAGGGACTCGGGAATCTATGCATAGTAAAAGAGATCATGAGATGATCTGCCTTTAGAGTCTGTAAATTGAAGATTCCCTATTTCGAATAAAGCTTACCCTAAACCGCAGGGGTTGATACGCTTCCTTACCCTAGGTTTTATGGGAAGGTAACCGAGACGAAAGGAAATATATACGGCAACCAAATATGTGTAATAGGATGATCCAGTCATTAATCTAACTAGTTTTGGGGCAACAAAGCATTGCTAGTGCTCTGTGTTGTCATTAGATGGGTTGTGGGCTTATTGGGCCCAAACCCATTTATGTCAGTGGCTATGTTGGACCTAATGGGTCACACACTAACACCTAATTGTCTAGATGCTTTAGCATTAAAGATATTGGGCCTAACAATTGTTATTAGCCCAAGAAGTAGTTTGGAACTCCACAGATAGGGTGGAGGGCGCATGGATCAAAGTAATGGGCTTAGATAGTCCAAGACATTACTAATTAATTTAATTAGTTAAATTAATTATCAAATGTTTAAATTTTGAATTTTGAATTTGAATTTTGAATTTTGAAATTTGAAATTTGAATTTTGAAATTTGAATTTTGATTTTGAATTTTGAATTTTGAATTTTGAATTTGAATTTTGAAATTCAAATTTTGAATTTTGAATTTGAAATTTGAAATCTGAATTTTGAATTTTGAAATTTGAATTTTGAATTTGAATTTTGAATTTTGAATTTTGAAATTTGAAATTTGAATTTGAATTTAGAATTTGAATTTGAATTTAAAATTTAAGTGTTTGAAAGTTTGAATTCAAATGTTTGAAATTTGAATTTGAATTGGCTATGAAAAGTTGTTTCATAACAAAAGGATAAGATGAGATCTTGTTGGAACATATCAGGAGGAGATCTTTTGGACATAATCCAAGGATAATGGGGTGCTGATTTTGGCTAGATTTGATCATCAAAATCAGCTCCAGAAGATACGGTCTGTTGGGAGAATATTTGAGTGAGTTGATATAAGTTTGAAATGCAATTAACTCAAATGTATATGGTCACCTTTTAGGCTATATGGGGCGCACCATATAGCTGATTATATGATGGTTCATGGTCAGATTTCTGACTAGGTTTTGAACTTAGTCTCATGAGAATATTCTGGGATGTTGTTGTCAATTTTTGAAATGCAACAACTCCACTTATTCTCTCCCCATAGGGCGCCACTTTGATCAGATTTTTGGGAGAAAAATCTGATTTGTTTTTGAAACTTAAAAAGGCTCCTCTTGTGTGCTTAAGTAGCAGTTAGTTCCTCCTTAGGTTTGTGTGAAAAAGCCAAGCCTTTCTCTACTCATCTATGCGCCCCTTGTGAGGTTTTCTCTTAGAACACTTCACTTTTCTAAACACTTTTACCTAGCCTCCTGCATCACACACTGAGCGCATAGCAAGCCTTATTGTGGTGATCAATCGGCGGCCTTACTGGAAGGAGTTCCTGTATCTAGACGCGGGTGGTGTAGATCAACGTTAGAGGGTCTGAACCCTTCAGACCTACCTTGATCATCTTGAGTTTTCACGAACAAGGTATGACATACGTCTTAAAGTATGTATCTTGATATGCATGTGTGTTCCGCTTGCGAAAAATTTTGTTTTTCCCTCACGCATGTTTCGGCCTTCAAGACCAATTCTACTTTCAAGTGGTATAAGAGGTCGGTTACTTTACCATAGACGGGTGATGGTACCTTGTTTGTGAACCTGTTTCTCACAGTTAAAATTTCTTTAAAGAGTTAAAGATTCAATTTTTATGTATGGATTATAATTT